TGTCGGACTGGATGAGAGCTAACAAATTGAAATTGAATCCAGACAAGACAGAGGTCCTACTGGTCAGTCGTAAGGCCGAACAGGGTATAGGGTTACAGCCTGTGTTAGACGGAGTTACACTCCCCCTGAAGACGCAGGTTCGCAGCTTGGGAGTGATCCTGGACTCATCGCTGAGCCTGGAACCCCAGGTCTCAGCGGTGGCCGGGAGAGCTTTTGCACAATTAAAACTTGTGCGCCAGCTGCGCCCGTACCTTGGGAAGTCGGATCTGGCCACAGTGGTCCACGCTCTTGTCACATCCCGGTTGGATTACTGCAACGCACTCTACGTGGGGTTGCCTTTGAAGACTGCTCGGAAACTTCAACTAGTCCAGCGAGAAGCAGCCAGATTGCTCACCGGAGCGGCGTGCAGGGAGCATACCACCCCCCTGTTGCGTCAGCTCCACTGGCTGCCGATCCAATTCCGAGCACAATTCAAAGTGCTGGTTTTGACCTACAAAACCCTATACGGTTCCGGCCCAGTGTATTTGTCCGAACGGATCTCCCTCTACAACCCACCTCGAAGTTTAAGATCTTCTGGGGAGGCCCTGCTCTCGACCCCGCCAGTGGCACAAGTGAGGCTGGCGGGGACGAGGAGCAGGGCCTTCTCAGTGGTGGCCCCTCACCTGTGGAACTCACTCCCCGGGGAGATCAGATCGACGACTTCCCTTCTAGCGTTTAGGAAAAAACTAAAGACCTGGATGTGGGACCAAGCTTTTGGTCATGCTGACAACTAACTAAAGGACCTGTCGATAGACAAGGACAATGGAATGGAATGGATATATGGACTCTGATATATGGACTCTGACATGAGATAGTTTTTATGATTTTATTAGGTATTGATGTTTTATTTTAATTGTTGAATTGTTATATTTTGCATTGTTTGTTGTGTGTTTTGGGCATCTAATTGTGCCTTTCCTGTAAGCCGCCCTGAGTCCCCCTCGGGGTGAGAAGGGCGGGGTATAAGTAGATGAAATAAATAAATAAATAATAAATTTCAGTTTCTGTTATGGAACATTTAAGGTTAAAATTATAAAAAAGTTGGACACATATGATGTTTTCACTATTCCAGTCTTCCCCAGTTACTATTTTTCCCTATCATACCACAGGCCCTATAAATTTGTTTAGTTTCAGTTTAGATGTATGAAGATCCTCAGGTAAACTTTCCCATGGTATTTGTGAATGCTAAATTTCAAAGTGGCTGGAAATATTATTTAAACTTGCACTGTTATACACAGTTGCAGCTGACCTCATCAGACGGGGAATTCAGCCTCCTAGGATGCTTTCTTCTCATCTTCAGGACGGAGCTCCATGCTGGTCATCACACAACATTGTGTGACTTCTGGGAGAGGCCCTGCTACCAACTGGGGTGAAAATGTCATCAGAGGCTTACTCCACAACATGGGAGGCTTCATGTTTTGTGCTGGCTCCAGTGGAGGTAACACAGGTCCTCTCTGGGAGGGCGACACTTCTCCTGTATGATGGGGAAAGCATCACTGAGAGGGAGCTGTGCATGGGGTGACAGATTCGCCCCACTGCCCCTCTCCTTTCACCATGATGCTAAATGAAGCGAGGGTGCTTCGCCTGGCCTTTGTGATGAAGCCCTAAGAAATATTTCCCAATGAATTTATTGGGCTTATCTCTGAGGCTGGATCTACATATGATCCAGTTTCTTAATCCAGATTATCTGCTTTGAACTAAATTGCATGAGTTTCCATTGCTATATAATCCAGTCCAAAGAAGATAATGTGGACAATGTAGATGGGACCCAAGTAGACATTGCAGTGAAAGGTACACAAAAAGACTTTTGAAGCATGAGAGGTTCCAACAAAGGGCAAGATAGATGGTATCCTTGAAGTGTCTGGCTTGACTCTGAAGGAGCCGGGGGTGGTGATGGCTGACAGGGAGCTCTGGTGTGAGCTGGTCCATGAGGTCACAAAGAGTTGGAAGCGACTGAACGAATAAACAGCAGCAGCAGCAACAACAACATTCTTCATTTAAATTGATCAGAGCTCAAGTTTCATTTGGAGGCATGAACTAGGAAGAAGAATGCTGATGGCAGTATAGCAAACATTTTGAAATAGAGGAATGTACATATCATTAGAAAAGAGCACCTGGCAAAACCTGCAGACTGATAAAACAGAGCCTCTCCCTTTGCACACTAATGAGCAAGAAAGCAATGGGTCACAAACAGGGGCGGCTCAACCCATTACGCAAAGTAAGCATTTGCAGTATAGTTGATTTTGCCCAGGGGGGCTCTTGAGGCGCTCTTGGGGGAAAATAGACCTTGACATATGTGAGTTGTAGTTACTGGGATGTATAGTTCACCTACAATCAAAGAATTGGAATTGAACCAAATATGGCACACAGGACTCCCACGACGAACAGAAAATATATATCAGTGATTGGTGGTGGTGGTGATGGTGGTGGTGGTGGTGATGGGGGACCAAAATACTGTTTGCTTACCGTTGAAAATTACCTAGGGCCGCCTCTGGTCACAAAGGATCAAACTTCACCTTTATATATATCCACCTTTATATATACCCACCTTGGGGCCAGAATCACAGGTAAAACACCATTGGCTTCGATGTCAAGCCAGATTCCCTCTCTTCAGCAGCATTTCCAGGAAGACCATCCCATTGTGACTCCCTACTCAATCGCAAGGTTTTAAACAGTAGCTGCACGATAGCGCATTCCCAAAGGTTTCTCTCACATTTACCTGTGGACCCATAACTAATGTTGACAGAGGGAGGGAGGTCTAAGAAGAATGAAAAAATA